CATAAAAGGCATAGATTGCTATATGACAGAACAAGTATAATCTCTAAATTATTAAAGTGACATAAAAGGCATAGATTGCTATATGACAGAACAAGTATAATCTCTAAATTATTAAAAAATATGTAATGTGACATAAAAGGCATAGATTGCTATATGACAGAACAAGTATAATCTCTAAATTATTAAAAAATATGTAATGTGACATAAAAGGCATAGATTGCTATATGACAGAACAAGTATAATCTCTAAATTATTAAAAAATATGTAATGTGACATAAAAGGCATAGATTGCTATATGACAGAACAAGTATAATCTCTAAATTATTAAAAAATATGTAATGTGACATAAAAGGCATAGATTGCTATATGACAGAACAAGTATAATCTCTAAATTATTAAAAAATATGTAATGTGACATAAAAGGCATAGATTGCTATATGACAGAACAAGTATAATCTCTAAATTATTAAAAATATGTAATGTGACATAAAAGGCATAGATTGCTATATGACAGAACAAGTATAATCTCTAAATTATTAAAAATATGTAATGTGACATAAAAAGGCATAGATTGCTATATGACAGAACAAGTATAATCTCTAAATTATTAAAAAAATGTAATGTGACATAAAAGGCATAGATTGCTATATGACAGAACAAGTATAATCTCTAAATTATTAAAAAATAAACCTTTAAAAATCAATGCCAGTGTTAATTTTAAATCTTAAGCTCCAGTTTCAAACATTTGAGAAGAAAACAAAAATTGCCTTGTAATTCAATTATTGTCAAGATTCATATTTATTAATAAAGAGATAAAGAGGAAATGCAGTCATTAGTCAACAAATAAGGATTCTAGAAGGAAAATCTACACATTTTTCTCTTGTTTTCTGTCTCCCTTCATTATATCCTAATTCACAAGTTCTGTGTTTTTATTATCTCTTTTATTACTATTCCTTTATCACAAAACAGAAAAAAAAAGTGATTCTCAAATTTTGTTCATTTCATATTTTACCCCACTTTTCTATATGTTCAACTACTTTTCCTCAAAACCAATTTTTGTGTTTTGATGATAAAGAAGAAAAAGAGGAAAAGATAAGAGTTGCCAAGCAATTCAGTTCTTTTCAATATTATTTCATATTTTCAATTTTATGCTGTTTCTGATAATTTTTGTAAATAAATTAACAAATAAATGAAACAAGACTTTTTCTTATGTCACTAACGTTTTTTACTTACCTTTGTATAAAGTCATCTAAAGAAGTTTTCTTGGAATGTTTCTGATTTTTCTTTATCATAAATCCAATAAAATCTTGCTTAACTTTCTGGAAAAAAAATATTAAAAATGTTGTCAGCTATTCAATTAATTATGAATTTTAATTTTTTTCACTTTCTGGATCTTGTAAAAAATAAAATAAAATTCATTTATATTTGCTAAAAGATGCATATCTTTTAAAAAAAAAAATTACGGTAAATTTAATTTATAAATATAGATAATTTGTCCATTGTTTTATTGGCTTCCACATGAAGAAATTAACCCTTTGAGCCCTGACCACCACTTTACCGGTGGTAGAGAAAAATGACTTAATACCCAGTCACTGGTTAAACGGTGGGTAAACACTTGCATCATGTTTTGATATTGGTTGTCTTATTTGGGTAGACTGGGACACAAAGAAAGAATTCTAGCAATAAAGTGAAGTCATGCAATTATACTCTCTCCCTGCTAAGTATAATGCTTATATTTTTTGTAACTATTTTTATATCTACTGTAAAACATTACATACCAATTATTTGCGAATTTTGACTCAGGAGCTCAGGCAGAAGGGTTAAAATTGTTCAGGAACGCGGGGCTCAAAAGGTTAAACTTCAAAGATTCTTGGAATATAAATCTAAGTTTTTCCAAAGAAGCAGATGCATTCCAATGACAATGTTTTTTTTTACAGACTTGCTCCTCAAAGACATTTTATTATTAATAATGAGTTTCATGAAGGAAATAACATGAATTTAAGCAACAAATATTTTTGCTTTCAGTTCAATATTCAATTTTAATGCCAGGTCTGTTCATGATGTAGGTAATCATGGCTCTCCACAGATTCTTTTTCTTTATTTCAATTGATACAAAATGAATAATTCCATTATTATTTACTTTTTTCATATTTTTCCAGTTAAACATGTCCCAGTGCACATGTTAGTACTTTGTATGTCCATTTCATGAAGTTGTTCCTTGCAGATTGACCACAGATTCTCAATTGGATTTAAATCAGGAGAGTTTCTCGGCCAGTCTATAGCACTTTCATTTGCTCACTGGTAAGGCTTGTCAGTGTGTTCGTGCAGTATCACAATTTTCGCGTGCTTCCTTGGAGTAACGTCCATCACAGACAGTAGCCATAAGACAATTAATTAACAGTTGAGACAATAGTATCTGGGCATGATGAAAATCTGATGCAATCACAGATGACGCAATATTTTTCAAGGCCAAACAGATTTCTATCATAAATCCCGAAAAGAGATTCATATTACTGCACACCACTGTAAATGACCTAATCTGAGAAAAAATAGAAATGGATTAAGTCCTGTCACTCCAGTGGGTCTAAAACTGACCATATGGTGAAAGAAAGGAAACTAAAGAGGTTGCTTCAATTAATTTGCACAAGGGTGTATCTGTGAATTGATATATTTCCTTGGGAAACATAGTGGAGTATTTTCCAATTTCCTTCTCCATGGTTTTAAACCCAGAACTTCTCCTAGACTGGCTGCCATTAAAGACTAGAGTTCCCAGTCTACGCTGATATTTAAACCACAGCTGATGCTTGATAGGGAAGAAGTGGATTCCCACCTTTCTCAAGGACACTAGTGTGAAAGTGAATCCAATAGACTTGACCCTAATTTGAATTCCTTTCTCCAATTCCATGTTCCATGCTGATAACTTATGCTTTCCAATACCTTAATTTTTTAAAAAAAGGAATGGAGTAAAATTAAGTAATCTTGATTTATCAATAATATACATGCTAGATTTTTTAAACTAAATGTTCATAGATTATTTTTAAACAAGTGTGGAGAATCAGTGTGACAAGGCAAGCATTGAACCTGGGGTTTCTGCATGAATATTTTATATACAGCAGAAAGATGCCAATCTTTTTTCCAGGCCAAAAGTAAAATGGAAAAGCTTTCCTTTTATCAGCTGTATTCACAACAACCACAAAGTATTTCTATTTACATAAACAAATATAAGAAAATAATCTTAGCATTATTGGTTAACATGTCTCCACCCAATCTTTTTATTCAATGCATAGTATGCCTTGTACATATTAAAAAACATAAAAGTAATTTGTTTATGTAGGCTGTGAAAAAAATGGAAGCATATAGATGAAAAGATTAATGATTATGAAAACAACAATTACAACGTAAAAAAAAAATTGATCAACAAATCAAATCTGATGAGGAGAGAAGAAATTAAGTTACTGAATGTCTGTATGTGTGTACATATAGACACGCACACACGTGTATGTGTGTATGCATGTAAACAGCAGTTTTTCACTGATACAAATTTTTTTAAAAACAACAGACATGTTTGAAATCTGAACATATTCTCTATGCCATGTAAATAATTGCAAAAAAAAAATAATCTTAAATCATCATCTGCCATTTTTAATGAAATGTGGATCAATAATTATATATTTGTATAATATGAATATTTTTTTATCTTGTTGTATGGAGTCTTTTTCTAATTGAAAGCACAAGCAGTTCTAGAGAAATAAGTCAGCAGTTCAAATACAGAGATAGAACAGCAATAATGCTTTCTTTTTAATTTTTGGGATAAAGTATGATATTGCTGACAGCAACAACATTTCCAAAATGCAACAAATTCTTGAATAAACTGGATACACTCAGGCTATTCAGTTTTGTTGCTCTTTGACAACTGTCTGTTTTTACATTAGAGTTATCTAAGATGAAGTGAGGCTCCATAATAACCATACTCATTTCAGGATCCTAGTCTGAAGTTGCCAACCATTTTGTCTTCTTATTTTTTTCTAACCTTTGCATTCAGGTCTACCATGATGATAATGGTTTGTGATTTACATAGTGCCTTGGTGTTGTTGAGAGCATTGTAAAAGTTATCGATTTCCTTCTTTGTGCTCTGCACAGTTGGTGCATATACAATGATACAATTTGCTATATTAATGGGCTTCCCTTTTGGTCTTAACTAACAGAATTCTGTCTGATATTCAGCAGTATCCCAGAACACATTTCTTCATGTCATTATCTAATATTAATCCTACTCCTCTTTCATTTTTGTCCCTGCCTGCATGTATTATCATGCATTTGTTGCTTATGAAATCCCCATTACTTGTCCATCTAGTTTCGCATATACCTAGAGGGTTGATATCTTATCTCTTGCTTGATGTTTTCAAGCTGGCCATATTGGTATAGCATCCTTATATTTCAACATGTAAATAACTCTTTTTGAGTAAGTTCACATTTACTTATCATCTCTCAGTTGTGTCTTTGTCCTTGGACAGAGTGCGCTCAGGGGCTTCTCTGTCAAAGGACAGGGGGGCAAGAGGGAAAATAATACTGAAGATGTGCCCAGCCCTGGGGAACAGCTGCCTGAGGCTGCGCCCTCGCATTGCACTAGAGGGAGGGATCAGTGCTCGCACTGAGGACAGCGCAACCATTGGTTGCAGGGGCTGAGGTGAATTTTTGTTCCTGTCCCGGGCGTATGTGCTCGGGTCCTCACCTAAAAATAGACCTTGTGTCACATCTTGTCCTAGTCGGGGGGACAGAGTAAATACCGCATCCTTATATTTCAGGTCCTAATTACTATTTTTTGTTTGTTGTGAACAGTCACTGGATAACCTGTCACTAATATCTATCCTTACTGGTTGAGGACTTGTTCCCAAGAAACTTAACACCCTTTATGCTATTATTCTTTATAATCATTTTGTGAACAGCCACTGGATGATAGTTAGGTGATACCTGTCACACAAGTCTTCCCTTATGACAAGGACTTATCTCTCCTGCATACCATTATCTATCTATCTATCTATCTATCTATAAAGGCAGGATGTGTGTGTGTAATGAATGCACAGCTGCACTTTTCGACGGATTTGCACCAAAATTTACATGCACATGCTCCAAGTTAGCGGAAAGGCCAAGACTGACTTTGCATTTCCCAACTCCCATCGATAGTGGAAATAATTGATTTTTTCATACTTCAACGGCAGTTTTCATGTACTTTGTGGCCATTTTCTACTGGCCAGAGTGAGAGCCTATAGCTGGCTGCCACAAATAGGCAGGAAGATTCTATTGGCCAGCGTGAGAGCCAACAGCTGACTGACACGAATGTTAACTAGCATGCAAAAAAAAATCGATAGCTGCATTTGTCACAAGTGGAAAAAATTTAAATCTGCATGGCACTTTACTCTAATTGGCTCATTCGCTTGCTTAAACTCAACATTGATTCTGATTCCACAGAACTGGCTTGGATGTGAAAAAGTATTTGTTGTTAACATTCTTTTTTCATTCAGTTTTTCCAGTTACGAGTCCTTTTTTAAGCTGATTGTTTTGTGTTCATTTTGTTTAGTTCTTTTATTCGTAACAGATTTAATGTTTAGTATAGAGCTTAGAAAAAATTGGCAGTGTGAGATAGGCAAGAAGTAAGGCATGTAGCAACATCAGCACGGCAAAGGGCACTCCTTTAAAGGCAAAGAAGGGCAAAAATATTTTAAGTCAAGTGATAGCGATTGCTGTATGAGTCGTACGATTTTTTAATCAAGCAGGGGCAACGCCGGGTCATGCTGCTAGTATATATATATATATATATATATATATATATATATATATATATAAAGTTGTAGCTTCTGTCTTCCTGTTATTGAATTCCTCCTAGCATTTTGGAAATATACTCCCATAACCACATATATTCTGAAACTATATTATCCAGGGTACTTGGATACGTATATTTCATTTTGATTAAATGGCATTCTCGGAAAACACAGCCCTGAAAATTTTTTCCCCTTTGATTTAGATTAAATTTAAATGTGAGCAAGGGAATGGTGCTTATCCGAAATATAGAAGGAGAAAGCCAGAAGATGGAGGTCACATTGGCAAGATCATTGTGCAATACTGAAATGCATCATTTTTTCTCCACAAATTATAACAATGATTTAAAAATCAATTATCATTTTTTTACAAAAAAAAAATGCGTGACATGCAGCAAGGTGCAGGTAATTCAGCTTGTCTTTAATGTTGTTTATTGGTATAATTATTCTCGGATAGGTAATGGAGTGGTTTTCCTTTGCATTCTCTAGTTCTTTCTTATTGAGACACCAACTCTAGTTAGCTGGCTGTTGACTCATTAAGAGTTCTTCCGCCCTTCGATAGGTCTTATTTTTCATCCTACAAATTTGCTAACCATCTTCATTGCAGATGAAATGAATTTGGGAAGCCAGTTTAGTTGCTGACCATTTGACAAAGTTTTCATTTTGGAGAGAAAAACAACTTACCTTCCATCTAAGATAGTGTTGATGAAATCTCTTTGGGAGTAAGAAGGGAATTATCAGGGATTTAACAGCAGTTTACACAAGAGAAGAGTACATGATTCTAATTAAAAGTAAATGTTCAGGTAGCAGTGATAACTATTAAGTCTATTAAGTCTTAACACCTAACGAGGTAAATAAAGAAAGTAAACTATATCACCAGCAATTGTTTTTATTTTTTCCTTAAAAGAAAAATTTGTTTGGCTATAATTGAAGAGAAAGTTGATCAAAGACATATGGGATTAGTAGAATAAGACCCATAAAACAGGAAAATTGCAAAATATCCCTAGAATAGGAAATCCAGCACAGATTGCCTATTGGAGAGTTAACAGTTAATCAGGGGATGTGGTCCCAGAGAAACTATTCAGTTCTTCAACTATGAACAGTTTGACCTGCAGTCATGCTTTTCTTCTCTTTCTATTTTTTCTTTTCCTTTTAGCTCTCTCCCTTTCTCTTTTTACCCAACTACAACTTACTAGTATATAATAATAGTAATAAATAAAATAAAGTAAATAAAATTTGACTGAAAGTGGTGGGATTCTAAGTCTGAAGTCGACATAGAATACATATATTTAGTTAGGGTTAGATTAGAGAATTAAGTTGCGATATCTCCTATCAAGGTAAAAAAGGAGCAAAAAAATTAACCATTATTACCACAATTTGTTCTTTTTTTCTTCCTCTTAAGCACTTGAGATGGGGTCTAATCTAGCCAATTCAAGATTAGTCCCAACAGAAAAAGGATAATAGATTATCTTAGAGCTCACTTATGTTTTTTGAAGCCAGTGTAGTTGATAAAATGTCTTTTGGATTATCCCCCTTTACTTTGCTAAAAAATAATCTCCAGGCTCCTTAAGCCTATATAAAGGTGTGCATTTATCTCCCTAGTTACTTTTACAACTTTTCAACTCATGTTAATACATGCATTGTTGTTTGCTTTATATTTATTGTTTTATGTTACTTATTTTTTATTTGGACTCATATTGAGTCTGCCAATATTGTTTGTTGGATAAATTTTCCAGGAGTTTGTAAATATTTACTCAGCAAAGTGTTGATTCACGCAACATCATGGTAACTAAATATTTACTCAAAACACATAAGCAATCTCACAACAGTTTCATCAAGTTGGCATCACTTGAGGAATTATCTCTAAGATATTTATTTTTATTTTTATCGATAAAACCCTCTTCTATTTCTGTACTGGTGGGTTTGGGAGGTTAAAGAGATAAAGAAAGAAATATCCATTTACATTTACATGCAAATCAAGAAACAAACTTCCAGAGACTTTTTTTCTTATTCTCTCTTTTATCGAAGTGACATACTATTCTGTTATATTTCTTTCAGCAAACGGACTGTTTCAATTTAACATTGAACAGTTTGTTCGAGTTTATTAATTCGTACATCATTTCAGAGATATTTTGCGCTAGTTATCAAAAAAAAAAAAAAAAATCTATTTCTTTCCTGTTCGTAGTGTAATTATGACTAATTACATTATACTTCGTAACCAAGAGTTATTTTCATGAATTTCAGTTATTAGAAGTGTCAAATCCCTGCGCTGCTGTAACTTGTAGAGGGCCGTGGTGGTTACGGTTTGTTGAGGGTTCATGGCATGGCTGTTATGTTGTTGATAGAAGTCACACGTAGAAGAAACGCAAGGTTCAGATACTCCTGCCCGCCGAGCCCAACTACATAAAAAGGTTGGACTTTGATTAAGTCCAAAGAAGAAGGTAAAGAAAGCAAACAAAACAAGACCGATAATATATGTATATACAAATATATATTAATAACAAGTTACAATACATGGAAACAGTACAAAGAACGAAGTGTGTGTGAATATTCTGTATGTGAGTGCATGTGTGAATATTCTGCTTAGCGTGTTTCCATGCTATCCCTTGTTAGTGACTACATTTCGATGTTGATAGCTGAAAATTCTCTAGGAATAAGAGAAATTTACCTCGAGGTGTTGGTGCACAGGCCTGAAGGAAAAAAGAGATAGAGGCGAAGGGTCATTGGCTATTTATAGCCAGGAAAGAGAGACCCCTGGTGAAAGGGTTAACGGAGTGAAAGGAGGAGTTAACTCCGACAAACTCGATGATTCAGGTTTCTGTCGTCATCTCGCAGATCACTGTGATTTCAACTGCCTACCATCGGCTAAGACTGCCTGCTAGTTTCAGCTCAACATGCTGACTGTCTATCAAACTTTGCTGACTGCCTATTGTCCTTTGACATCTCCCAAACAGTTTTGTCATCATCTTTTGGTTACCAACAACTGTCTGCCCTAGGCTACGACCGCCAGCTAGTACCAACCCAATACACCAACTGTGTATTAATGTTCAGCACCACTTGAGTTGCTCTGGTCATCATTAACTGTTGATGCATCTAAGACTAATAGTTAACACAGGGTATTTAAAACATCTGGATTCTTTGATAGTATTTTTCTTTTTTCTGTCAATAATAAATTTTGTCAGATTCTATCTAAACTCCTTGTTCTCATTATTTTTGCCTTGGCTTCTGTCACTTCTTCAATTTTAATGTTTGCAGGGTTCATCTAATCGACATTGCAACCCACAATGCTCTCAGTCTTGATACGTAAAAAAACTTTAAAAGTTTACACAGCTACCAAAAATTGACCAGTTAGAAAGCAAAATGGCATTAAATGCAGCTATTATTATGTGGGAACAAATATTTAAAATAATGATAATAACAGAAATAAAGATATTACAAACAAAAAAATCAGTACAGAATATATGTATTTAAATTATGTATTTATGTATTTTGTAGAACCCAAATTCTACATTATTCCAGTACCCCAAAATAGTTTGGTCAAATCTGTGCAAAAAGTGGATCACAGAACACTTTCAACTTCATACACTTTCAAAAAAATCTTGAACCCTCATTGGTTAATAAATATACAAGTAGGCATAACTATCCACCCATGCTCAACTAATTTTTACAGCTTGTGACTGAAATCCAAGTTTGCACCAAGTCTTTTTGAGCCACCCAAAGTAAATAAAAACAGAAACTCATTTACACTTGCCAGTGAGTATTGTGACATCAAATGAATTGCAACTAAGCTTCATGTCATACAATCTTAAGTTTTTTGTGCATATGAACATTATACAAACTTAACGATATTCACAGTCACTCACCAAAATTCACCAGTGAACTCTATTCCCATTCACTCACCAAATTCCTTAGACAGAAGTTAAACAAATTCCTGCTAACAAATCAACTTTATTTCCCAACATTCGAGAACATTGTATTACACAAAACCATCAAAGGTAGATAACTTCTTTGATCACAAATTGCATTCAACTTTACAAACATTTACTACTTACATGAACAGTAAATTCTTAAATGTAAATTTTTCTCTTGTAGTTAATTTACAGAATCTTCAAACATCCTTTCAAATCAGAACTCTTTAACAAAATTTAATCTTTCACCAAACTTGAGTTCAACATAAATTAAACTGAGATTTCACCTAAAAAAATCCACTACATTTTTGTAAAATATTTTCATTAC